AAGTCATCAGTAATCTGTACGGAAGTGACCACTTCCCCATAGTTTTGAGCACAAATACAGTACTGAGTGTCCATCACGTGTTCCCAAGTGGCTCATAAACAGAGCCGACTGGGAACACTTTTATACCATCGCTCGTCTAAGTTGGAATGACATAAGTACTTTGAACATTGATGTTGCTGTCAACTACTTCACAGCATTTTTGATTGATGCTGCAACAAAATGCATCCCACAAACAAATGGACACCCTGGAAAACGGCGTGTGCCATGGTGGAACTCTGAATGCCGAAACGCGCGCAAACAGCAAAACAGAGCTTGGAGGCTCCTTCGGAACTCACCGACAGCCGAAAATCTTGACACCTTCAAGAAAATAAAGTCTCAAGGCAGGCGAACGCGTCGGCAGGCAAGAAGAGAAAGTTGGCAGAAATTTTTGTCAGGGATCAATTCATACACACAGGAAGCTAAAGTCTGGAACATGGTCGGTAGGATAGCAGGAAAACAAGTACACACACTTCCACTCGTAAACACTCAGGGTGACACCTTGGAAGATCAGGCAAACTTCCTCGGTGCACACTTCGAACAGGTGTCCAGCTCATCCCACTATACTGACACTTTCCAAAAATACAGAACAAGAATAGAAAAGCAGAAACTCGAACACAAATGCACTAGATACGAGGCATATAACCAAGCTTTCAGTCTAGCTGAGCTCCGAACATCCCTAAACTCCTGCAGTACTTCTGCCCCAGGTTCTGACCGTGTCGTTTATGAAATGTTAAAAAACCTGCCGATCGAAACGCGAAAAACCCTACTTTGTTTGTACAATGCTATCTGGTTTTCTGGCACTATCCCTAACTCCTGGAAAGAGGCTATTATAATTCCCGTTTTGAAAGAGGGCAAGGACCCTTCCTTACCTTCCAGTTATAGGCCTATTGCACTCACAAGCTGCTTGTGCAAAATCTTTGAAAAATGATAAACTGCAGACTTGTACACTTTCTTGAAATAAACAATTTGCTCGATCCATTTCAGTGCGGGTTTCGAGAAAGTAGATCCACCACAGACCACCTTGTTCGTATCGAGGCACAGATCAGGGACGCCTTCGTCCATAAACAATATTTTCTCTCTGTATTCCTCGATATCGAAAAGGCTTATGATACAACATGGCGTTTCGGAATTCTAAGAGACCTGTCCCACCTTGGCGTGCGCGGAAGAATGTTTCACATAATCGAAAGTTACCTGTCAAACCGGACATTCCGTGTCCGAGTGGGCACGGTTCTTTCCCAAACATTCGTCCAGGAAACAGGCGTGCCACAAGGTGGTGTACTTAGCTGCACACTTTTTCTCATCAAGATGAATTCCTTGCACTTGTCCATCCCTCGCAATATGTTCTATTGTACATATGTCGACGACGTTCAGCTTGGCTTCAAGTCATGCAACTTGGCCATGTGTGAGCGGCAGGTTCAGCTTGGTTTAAATAAGGTCTCCAAATGGGCAGATGAAAACGGATTTCGACTTAACCCACAAAAAAGCACATGTGTCTTGTTCTCTCGAAAGAGAGGCATGCACTCGGAACCCGACATTCAACTGAACGGGCAACAACTGTCCGTCAAAGCCGAGCATAAATTCTTAGGCTTAATCTTGGACAACAAGTTGACCTTCGTACCCCACATAAAGTATTTAAAAACAAAATGTTTAAAAGCCATGAATGTTATAAAAGTGTTGTCACGTACTACGTGGGGTAGTGACAGGAAATGCCTCATGAACCTGTATAGAAGCAAGATGGAAAACTGGGCTAGTTGGTGAGCATTCATCGTGGTTAACAGCGCGAAACACCCGGACAGGAGCGATAGAAGGACACGGTACAGCGCTGTACCGTGTCCTGTATAGAAGCCTTATTCGCACCCGCTTAGATTATGGGGCCATTGTTTATCAGTCAGCGACTCAAAGTGCTTTGAAGATGCTGGATCCCGTGCACCATTCGGGCATCCGCCTTTCTACGGGTGCTTTTCGCACCAGCCCCGTAGAAAGCCTTTACGTTGAGTCAAATGAGTGGTCCCTTCATCTGCAAAGAACCTACATGTCCTTTATATATTTCCTTAAGGTGAAAGCAGACAAGAGGCACCCCTCATACTCTACTATTAATGACTTATCGAGCTCCATTCTTTTTCAAAACAGGCCTTCAATGAGGCAGCCCTTCTCAGTTCGCCTGAAGGGTCTAGCTGAAGAAACTGCAGTATCACTTGAACACAGTTTAATGGCTCCTGTTGCATACCCGCCACCGTGGCAGTGGCAGACTATAGATTGCGATGTGTCTTTTTTAGAAGTTACAAAACATGCGCCTATTGCCCATATTCGAACATACTTCTTGGAACTTCAATACAAATACACACGTCCTGAGTTTTTCACAGATGCCTCTAAGTCTAACTCTTCTGTGTCCTACGCTGCTGTTGGCCCTTCCTTTTCGGATGCTGGCCCTCTACATCCAGGCACAAGTATCTTCACAGCGGAAGCTTACGCGATACTTGTGGCAGCTAAACACATCAAACAATCACAAATACAAAAAGCAGTAATTTATACAGACTCCCTCAGTGTGGTAACGGCTCTGCACAGTCTTAAAAAACAAAAAAAAACCCTGTCCTCGTTTCACTTTACTCCATTTTATGCACCCTCTACACACTCAACAGACATGTTGTTGTGTGCTGGGTGCCAGGGCACCGTGAGATTCAAGGCAACGTGATGGCGGATCAGCTTGCTGCATCCGCCCACGAAAGCACCGCCGTTACACCGATATCAATCCCGGTCCTTGATCTTAAGCCGTCTCTCAAACGAAAACTCAGGGACTACTGGCAGAGCAAGTGAGATACACACACACAAAACAAACTACACGTTATCAAGCCACACCTTGGCCATTGGCCACCAGTATCAAAATCGCGTCTAACAGAGGTAACACTAACAAGACTCAGGATAGGACACACATACACGACACACACACACCTTTTGTCTGGTGGCAATCCACCATTGTGTGACAGATGTGGGGAATACTTAACCGTCCTTCACATGTTAATTCAGTGTAAACACTTAGAAACTCTTAGAAAACAACATTTTCCGATACTCTACCGACAACATATACCTTTACACCCTGCAATGTTTGTCGGAAGAGAACCACTTTTTAGTCATAATTCATTGTTAGCGTTTTTAAAAGAAATTCACAGCTTTCATGTCATATACCCGGGCATACCGTAGCAGGACCTCTCCAGAGAGGTTTTTGCTGCGGTGGCTACACAAAAAAGCACATGCCTCACGGCCCTTGGACGCAAGGGTTTGAACGAGTGAGGCACTTGTGCTATTGCCATACATATCCACCATCGTCTTTTATTATCACCAACTTTTGTCATCTGTTCACATCACACACACCTTTCACGGCATGGTCATGATTTTATTACCTGTATGTTTTTACCCGCCTTACTGCGAGGAATTTTATGGCCCTTATACAGCCGCTTATCACAATCATTGTCCATATTTTTTAGTAAGATGAACTGGCGCTCTTTGGCCGTAAATCGGCCCTTGCGCCATAAAACATCAAACATCATCATCATCAGAAGAAGCTAGATACTTTATCTGGGCTCAAAAGAAAGGTAAATGCCTGTCAGAACCAGTTGTCGACTTTGACACAACAATTACTGTTCTGGAAACAAAACTTGAGCACCTAAAAAATCATAGTCGGCAATCCAATTTAATTGTTTACGGTCTTCCTGAGACGGTAAATAAAACAACAAAACTCTTGAAAACGCCGTCAACAAAGGCATTTTAGGGGACATTATGGAGCTAGAACCTGTCAATATAGAGCATATTCGTCGCATAGGTAGACCTGAAGCCGGCAAAGTTAGGCCTGTAATATTTAAGTTGCTTGATTGGCGAGACAAGGCTAAAATACTAAAGAAAGGATCTAAACTTAAAACACAACATTGGCTATCGGTGAAGACTTTTCCCCCAAAATACGAGACATTAGAAAAATGCTTTGGACATGTGCCAAAGCAAACCGAGATAATAATGAAAGAGTAAACTTGGCCTTTGACAAGCTGTACATAAATAACAGAGTATACGTCTGAGACTGTGAAAGGGAAGAAAGAATACTGCTTGAAAAAAACGACGGAAGCAGCAATCGTCCGATAACCAGACGATATGCCCAGTCACTTATCCAGACCTAAGAGGACATTCGACAATTCCTTCGTGGATTCGGTCAACAAAATTTTTTTTTCTTTGTGGATTCGGTCAACAACTTTTTGGCAGCAGCGGCAGCACCCATCGTGCACGGACTCACGCTTGTCTTGTGTGTTTTACACAGATAACCCAGAGACAGCCCTGAAATCGGTTCCCGGCCCGGATTCCCACAGCGCATGTCCGTGTATTCGACTACTTTGCGCCCCGGATGAGCTGCCACGACCGCACCACGGCCACTGTCAGCTGATAGGCGCTACTGTCGCCGATCCAGCTTATAAGTGGTTCCACCCGGAGCGGCCCTCACTTTTTGGCAGCAGCGGCAGCACCCATCGTGCACGGACTCACGCTCGTCTTCTGTGTTTTACACAAATAACCCAGAGACAGCCCTGAAATTGGTTCCCGGCCCGGATTCCCACAGCGCATGTCCGTGTATTCGACTACTTTGCGCCCCGGATGAGCTGCCACGACCGCACCACGGCCACTGTCAGCTGATAGGCGCTACTGTCGCCGATCCAGCTTATAAGTGGTTCCACCCGGAGCGGTCCCTCACTTTTTGGCAGCAGCGGCAGCACCCATCGTGCACGGACTCACGCTCGTCTTCTGTGTTTTACACAGGTTAGTTTTGTTGCTGAGCAAATTTTTTTTTTCGCTTTCCGCTGCCTCTGCTGCTGCCAACGTGTTTTCATGTCATCTGATGGGCAATGCACCGCATGCCACAAGTGCTTGTCTGCTCCCGAGTGTACAATTCAGTGCAGTGATTGTTCTTGCAAATACCATACGGGAGTATGTTCGGGAGTATCGGAAAAAACAATCAAAACGAAGGGAGAGGCCTACCGTCTAGCTTGGCGGTGTCCCACTTGCAGGAAAACAAACTACGCGACCCAGTTAAGAAACCAAACGAAGAACTTGAAACACAAGATGTACGACTTTTGTTAGTTACAATTAACGACAAACTTGACCAACTTCTGCCTTTGAGAGATGTAGTGAAAAGGTATTGAGGACTCATTGCAGTTCTGGAGCGAGCAGTATGATGACTTGCTACGCCGGGTCGAGCAGAATGAGCATCATATCAAAGAACTCAGGCGCCGGACAGAAAAGCTTGAGACCCAGAACAGTAATGTAAGTGAAATGGAAGCTGAAATCGACAATCTGGAATGGAGAAGCCGGCGTCTCAATCTAGAATTCCATGGCATCACGCCTACGGAAAACGAGGACTTGCTGAACAAAGTAAATGCACTGGCGCCTGACGTTGAGCTTCCGCCCCTTCCAGACAATGCCGTGGTAGCAATTCATCGTCTTCCGTCCAAGAAAGGAAAAATATCGGGCATAATTTGCCGTTTTGCAAGGCAGGCAGATAGGGACAAGTGGTGGAAAAACAGGAATAAACTTCGCGGCCGTGATGATCACGTGTACATACTCGAGAACCTAACTAAACAAACTCGTGCTTTGCTTCAAGAAACAAAAAGCTGGGCAAAGGATCTAACTTCAAGCACGCATGGCACGGCAACGGGCGAGTTCTTGTTCGTAAAGACGATAAGGACAAGGCTGTTGTTGTCACATGCATAAGCGACCTAGATAAACTAAGCTAAACACTGCAACGGCCAAGCCATAAACATGAACCATAAAAATACCGAGTCAAATGTACTACCACGTGCCTTTGAAAAACACATAGGAAAGGAATTCATAAAATCCTTCAAATGTTTCCACTTGAACATACGATCAGTAAGAAATAAGGAATCAGATCTGTCATTATATCTTGAACAAATCAAACAATCATTTGATGCAATATTGCTAACCGAAACCTGGTCCACTTATGAGACTACCGTTTTTCGCATTCCATCGTATAACACTTTCTACTTAAACCGCTCCAAAAGCCAAGGTGGTGGCATATGCATTTTAGTAAAAAAAGAATTTACTTGCGAATTACTACAAGAGCTGTCTGCTTATACAAACTATTGTGAAATAATGGTGATAAAAGTAGAAAACACTGTTATAACAGTCTGCTACCGTCCTCCAAGTAGCTCTGTGTCAAATTTTCTCGATAAGCTAGAACAATGTTTTGAATTTTCTACTCGAAATCGCCTCTCTTTTATCTGTGGTGGTGACTTAAATATAGATACACTGAAAAATGATGCCACGGCATGCAAGCTGAATGTACTGTTGAAGGTTTACGGTCTTATAAACGTAATAGATGTACCCACAAGAGTGACCACTGAGTCATCATCCCTCATTGATATGTTTTTTACCAATTTAGACATCGATAAGATCAAAGCCGGTGTATTGACGTGTGACCTCAGCGATCACTTGCCGATATTCATTTGCTGTAAACAAAACGTGCGGAAGATATGGCAGCAATACAAAAAGTGCAAAAAATGTCGCAGCATGCCTTGTTGACGTTTTGGGAGAGAATTGAGTTAGTGGATTGGTATGATGTGTTGTCTTGTAATGACGCAAACAGTTCCTATGAAACATTTCTCGCCACTTTGAGCTCTATCTATGAATCTTGCTTTCCTTATGTGCATATTAAAAGACGTAAAAACATACGCAAACCAAGGGTTAGCCTTGAGCTTATGAAAAGAATACGGGAAAAAAACAAGCTCTACAGGCAATTCATTCAATACAAAGACCCAGACTAATTTCGAGACTTCAAAAAAATTCGTAACTGCCTCGACAAGGACTTGAAAAAAAGCGAGGTGTGACTATTACTCTAACCAATTCGAATCTGCTGACGGGCGTGCCCATCTTATCTGGAAAAGATTAAATTCCATCTTAAAACGTAACATCCCACCTGATAAAGTGAGCAAAGTGATTGTGAACGACGTACAGCTGACAGGGAAGTCTCTGGCAGACGCGTTTAATCAATACTTTGTAGGGGTTTCACAGCCTGCTACAGTGCAAATGACGTTGAAAGTTGAAAGTTGAAATTTATTTCACCACAACGATACACCATGATTTACACAAACAAGAAACAATTGTGGCATGGAAAGTAGGAAAAAAGCTGCGCTATAGCAGCTTGACTAGCCCCACCTCCCATTTGTACAAGGCAACAGAAACAATGGCACACCAAGCTCCATACGGTGCTCACGTATGATTGAAAGAAAAAAGAAAAGAAAATAACATTCTAGTGGTTGTTAAGAAGTACAGAATAGATGCACACTTGGGTGTTTACAAACAAACAATTTTTGGGAAAAAGGCAACCAATATAAGACGCTATAACAGAAAGGGGTACACTTAAAATTTCATGCATTTAGAAGTACTGGGTGCAATTTTTCTGGGTTTATAGCTCCTTATACAAACAGGTTTAATATATCACTACTTGAAAGGAGACGCAATTGCTGTTCTGTGAGCTTGAACTTATTTAGTATACGGGGAACAGAGTGCTTTAGCATTTGGAGTCCGTAATTTGTTCGCGGTCGGGGGATGTGCCAGTGTTCAGAACTCCGCATCGGACGCAACAAAATTTTCGGCTGTAAATGTGCTAAGCCTCTCAGGTTTGCGCAATTCTTTCGAATTTCATACCTCAAAGACAACAACAAGTTATGTTCATATGCAACACAAAATTTTAAAACTTTAAACTTGACAAATAAATGGGATGTGTGTTCTCTGTAACCTATATTTGCAACAGCCCGCAAAGCGCTTTTTTGAAGTGTATACAACTTTTGTTTTGATGTTTCAGTTCCAGAAGCCCATACCAACTGACAATAGCGTAGATGAGAACAAAAAAGCGTATTAAAGATAAGAAGTTTCTGGGGGAGCGGTAGAAACGACTGACACCTTCTCAGCACGCCAAGGGCTTTTCTTAGCTTAATACACAATTGTTCAGTGTGAGAATTCCAGAACATATGTTGATGAAAGATGACGCCCAAAGTTTTGACAGTCTCTGAAAGTTCGATATTAAAATTATTTAGCATCAGTTTTTGTGTGTACGTACATGTCATTCCTTTCGCACGGAAAAGAACGGCCTTGGTTTTAGAGCTGTTGATCTGTAACGAATTTTGGCAGGACCATTTCGAAAAATTGACTAACGTTTTATTAGCTGCTTTTATCAAATCGTCTATATTTGTTCCCGTAAAGAATAAGCTTGTATCATCTGCATAAATAATGTACGTTATTGAGTAATCCACATTTACAACATCATTGATATAAAGGTTAAATAGAAGAGGTCCTAATATGCTTCCCTGTGGTACACCGCGTTTGATTTTTTGGGGCATAGATGTTTGCCTATTTATAGACACACACTGGTACCGATCACTAAGGTAGCTTCCTATTAAATCGAGCGCGATGCCTCTAATCCCGTAATAAAACAATTTTTCTAACAAGGTTTGGTGATCAATTCTGTCGAACGCCTTCGTAAAGTCTATGAATACGCCTAATGTTAGCTTTCTTGCTTCAATGTTGCCCAGTATCAACTCTTTTTGATGCAACAGTGCTGTCTCCGTCGATACGCCAGACCTTAACCCATATTGTGCTGTTGTAATCACAGAATGCGAGTCCAAAAATTTATACAATCTAGTGAAAATGATTTTTTCTAGAGCCTTTGAAAATTTAGGTAATACCGATATTGGCCGGTAATTACTCATTTCATTTTTGTCACCACCTTTAAAAAGCACTGCAACTTTGGCATTTTTCATCCGCTTAGGGAACATACCTGTGCTTAAAACAATATTATAAATATGCGTCAGGCAGGGTGATAATAAATCAATAACAAAGATAACCGGTTCCATTTTTATGCCGTCAATGTCCTCACTTTTGCTTTTTTTAAGTTTCATGAAAACGTTGTTTATCTCAGTTTGCTCCGTAGGGTCAATAAATATTGAGGGGGCTATAGGTGTTGGCGTGTGACCTAATGCATTTCCGTCGTAAGTACTTTCTGACAAAGAAGTAAAGTACCCATTGAATTTATTGGATAATGCTGTTCCTTTAAATATATGATTATCAATTGTAATTTCGTCGACACCAGGCGTCCTATTACTTGAAGATATGATTGTGTTTAGTTTTTTCCACATTTGCTTGACATCTACGATACCGTTAAAAATAGTATGGTAATAGTCGCGTTTGGCTTGTCTTAAAGTTTTTGAAAGACTGTTTCTGTAGGCCCTAAACGCTTTCAGTGCATTCAAATCGCGATTTTTCAAGAACACCTGGTACAGTCTGTTTTTCGTACGTTTCATTTTCAATATACTTAACGTTACCCAAGGCTTACGTGCGCGTTTTGGCTTAGTTATTTCTTTGTACGGAAAGTGTTTTTTATATACCGAAGAAAAAATTTCTATGAAATGTTCATATGCGGTATCAGCCGTAGAGCACGCAAAAACTGCGTTCCAGCTTGTTCTGGCGAGTTCATCTCGGAACTGCGACAGTGTAACCGCGTTGATGTCTTGATATATTATATTTACAGTGAATTCTTTTGCCGTATTGTACGTATCAGTTACTAAATAGATAGGCAAGTGGTCGCTAAGTGTCACAATAATGGTACCAGAGAATAGGTCATTAATTGCTAGGTTAGTAATAAAAAGGTTGATAAGAGTTTCACTAGTTGCAGTGATACGTGTGGGGGTGGTTATTACATTAAACAAAAAATGGGAATCGAGAATCGCAGATAATTCGCCCTGTTTAGGAGTTTTTGTCAGCATATTTATGTTTAGGTCACCTCCTAAAATTAAAGAGTCTTGGTTTATGTTTACAAACGAAAAAATAGCCTCTAGAAACGTGAAAAATTCGCTCAAGTTACCATCAGGTGGCCTATACACGAGAGCAAATACAAAATTGTTGCATTTTATACAAATTATCTCAATGTCCGTTGTGGACCAAGAAAAGTCATCGAGGAGGTCATAGGTAAATCCCAGTTTTGTGAACATGCATACGCCGCCTCCCATTTTCAATTTCCGATTCAAAGAAACGGCACTGTAGCCGTCTAAATGTATGGTATCAAGATCAGAGTACCACGTTTCAGTCAGCATAATAACCGAAAAGGAAAACCCGAACTCGTTTATTAAAATGCAAAAGTCATCATATTTTTGGCGTAGCGACTGCATGTTCATATGTAAAAATGTTAATGGTGATTTACACTTTTCAACAATATCCGACTGAGTGTGGTTGGACTAATACAAGATAAAGTCATTGCTGAATATTATGGGTCAACATAGAAGTGCTGTCAGTTTGCAGACAAGTAGTGACATACTTCCAAATGAGAAACAGACAACGAAAAATATCACTGTGCCTACAGATTTCATCAACAAGGGCAGAAAAACGCAGCCAAGTTGTTTCCCAGCTCATGTCGCGATACAGGCATAAACGCAAACAATCCAGAAAATAGCAAAAGCGGCAACTACAAACCAGTACTTCCAAAATTAAAGCACACAAGACAAAAAAAAAGTAAAAAAAGCAGGCAACAAATATCGGAAAGAAAACAAATGTGTGGCGAACAGCGCATGCGCATATGGCCTTTGCTCCGGGTAGACTATCGCAACATATACAACTATGTGTCTCCTTAACACATATGAACGGCATGATAAGATGCGCTATAGCACCACAAAGGGCTCCTTCAAAGCTTGGAACATTGGTCTTATTTTCCAGCTTTCATAATGGG